ACCCCAGTTGATTCGGCAATGGGAACTTGGGGATTTCACCATGTTGTTCACTAACTTCCGGGGCTTGAGATTCTCGGTCTGACAACGGTCTCAAATGCTCTGGTGCGCATCGGAAAAGCCTACTTTGATGGGTTATCCATACTATGTTTCGATCTTCGGTCAAGACCACTCGTGCAGGCCCATTCCAGGCTCCTGGAAGGGCTCCTCGGCCGTTCCGCCAGTACATGATCCACTGTCCAATGGCAAAACTTCTCCTTTCAGGACGACTGCGTTTCAGAAGGGCTCTTCTGAGTTTCATGTCATGGTCTGTCCTAATGAAAACAATTCGTGCCTGTTCTCGCATGGAGAGGTTCCGGAAGAAGTTTTGTGCTTCCAAGGACTGGGACTGCGGAGGTCGGTCCAAGTGGTCATCTACTAACCAATCAGCGGGGCCCAGCTCTTCATTGGACAAGCACGCAGGAGTATGTCGGGACTTCCCTAACACTAGAATCTCTGGGCTATATCCTCGATGGCGAGACACACTGTTTTTGGCGGCAACCAGGTGAGCTAAGGCGTTTTCCAGGTCAGCATATGTGTTGACAGGGTTATCAGTTTGCCACTTGTCCAACATTGCTTGCAGAATGGCTCCATGACGCTCACATCGGCCCAATTGCCAGTGAGCCTCGCCAGGTATGACATGGCTTTTGATGTCATAGCTTTGCAAGTACCTGCCAAACTCTTCACTGCAAAATTCGCCTGCACTGTCATGCAAAAGTACCTTAGGTGGACCAGCCCAGTTAATCCAGTGTTTATTGATAAGAATGGCCAGTTCTGACGATGTTGGTCTGTGTTCAAATGGAAATGCAATTTGATAATTGGAGCTCATGTCGATCATGTGGTAAAAGTTGAAATGATGGTTATTCTGGTCGGTCCAGGTCACGGCATCGATTGCAACGACATCATTAAACTCTCGAGGTTCAGTTAGGTGGCTCGGTCGAGCCAAACGGGGTCTCTGGCGCTCGAAGCACGCCGGGCAGTGCATATCCTTGATTCCCTCAACAGCTTCCATGGGCCACTGTTGATCTCGGAGGACATTTCCTAGAGTGGTTGCATCAGGATGACCAAGGTTATTATGCATCCGCAACAGCTGCTGTCTCTCTTCGGAGGTTAACTTTAAGAAGTTGGGACCATGCTTAAGTTTGACCGTTGATGATTCAGGACATGGACTTTCGGCAGGGAACTGATCCTGCTGCTTTTGAGCAGGCATTTCTGGTACGGCTGCCTCTAACCGCAACTTCTTCGAGTCAGGCTCAAGGCTATCCGGACTGTCATCATGCTTTCTCGTGCTTGGTCCGGGAGAGGTACTACCGGAAGCAGGAACTGATGCCGTGGAGTCTGTTTGAGTTCCAAAAGCGGTGATCAACAATCTGGCTGGAGTTCCATGACGGTGCAATTGGCGTTTACTAAGTCCACCCCATTCTTCCCATTGGTCATCTTCAAAATTCCCAGGCATGCGACGATGGACTCCTAGTGTTCTACGCAGAGGAGCTATTTCTTTCGTGATCTCTTGGGGAGGACTCCTGAGCTTGTCAGCACCCTTGCAGAGTTCTACACACTTGATGGTGACTGTGGGATAAAGTCTCTGAATTTCTGAAAGAACAGGGCCTTCAAAGAAAAATCGCTTTCCTACGCTGGGAGCATGTTTGGAAATGGTATCAATGGCCTTCTGGACATGTAAGTCATGTTGGACCTGTTGGTATGTGGCATCAGGTGGCTGCTTGATACCCAATTTCCGACGCTTAGCGGGACCATCTGTCACCTCATCAGTAGATCGAGTGACCAGCGCGTTTTCTGTTGGCCGGCAATTCACTTCAGAGACCTGTGCACTGCACTGCATGCTACGAACCATTTTGTTGGCAAAAACCCTGGTATAGAGTTCCGTATACTGAGAAACATTGATTCTACCCAACTGTGGTACAAAACATGATCCCTCAACATGGTCATGAACATGATCTCGGGTGCAACGTAGGTTCGTCACCTGTCGATGCATCACTTCGGAAGTGGTGAGGATTTGAGTCCCCTTTTGCAGGTGATTCTGGGTTTGAGGATGCTTCAAGCGTCCTGCAGTGCACATGTCACATCGGCCTATCCAAGATTGATCCACGACCGCTGCAAGCTCTTCTTGATAGAGCATCTGCGATCCTACCGGCTGCTCAAGGTGTGCATGGCATAAGCGGGACCGACACGTCTGGAATTGGAACAAAGCATCACACAGAAGCAAGTGAACCTGGTCTTCTTGGCGATCTGTCATGATGCGATTGGCAAGTTCTTGTGTCTTGTGTCGGTTAAACTCATTCCAGCGACACCAGGCTTTACATCTTGGAGACATCCAGATGTTTCGCGGTCGGAGCTGCAGCAAACGGTCATACAACCTGAGACGACCCTCCCACGTACTTAGATCTCCATCATTTAAACCATGTCGTTCAGCCCATAACCCCTTATGATTGGCTTGCTCAGTCAA